AGAAGAAGAGTCGAGTGTGCCACCTTTAAAACAGAAGAAGAAGAGTCGATTGTGCCACCTTTAAAACAGAAGAAGAGTTGAGTGTGCCACCTTTAAAACAGAAGAAGAAGAGGCGAGTGTGCCACCTTTGTAACAGAAGTTTTTAACATTTTTAACAAAACTTTTATTCAATATTTTCAAATGCACAACAATAACACAATGTTAGGAAGCAAATATCACCTCAGGACAGACTTGAAAAGTTACTTAAATAAGGTGCTCGTTGTACGGCAGTTCTCCCTGAGCAGATACACTGCACAACACCCCGCAGAAGAACCATATGGTCAAGAAGTCCTTCATATCCCCAGCGGCTCTGTAGAAGCAAAACTCCAGCCTCAGCCAGGAGTTTTGCTTCGACAGAGGCGCAGCATCGAGCTGAGGTCCGGCGTGCCGCCTGTCCCTGAGAGACAAATAACCATTTTAGCTTCAGCAATTAAAAAATTCAAAATCTGGCACTTTGATTTTTGTTGTAATGTACTCCATAAATAAAAATAGAGCTAATAAAAACTACGCTAGCTGATTGATTTGAACTTCCCATAGTCCCACCATTGCTTCAGACTGGTAAAATCACACTTCCACTGTCTAAAACCAGTCCAAAATAACTTGAGTCTCTTTAAAACTTTTGTTGTAAGTTAAAACTTAATTAAATGCCAGTAAGCACTTCTTGGTAAAATGTTTCTGATAAAAGCAACAAGTGGTCTGAGAAAGCCACCGGTAAAATCTGGCATGTTTTAAACATGTTAAAATGGTGCTTCAAACAATAAAAACGGTCGAGATGAGCTGAAGAGATACGGTTTCCTTCAAAGTGGGACCACGTGTACAGTTAACACCCCTCCTATAGAAACATAATCCTCAGACCCACAATCCCCCAACCTTTCAACAATTTCTTCTAAAAAACGTTTTTTCTCTGCATTGGTAATAGGAGCATAAATATTAATAAAAACCATGTTAAAATTATTAAAACCTGCTCTGACTAAAAGACGCCTTCCCTGAATGACATGTTGAAGAGTTCAGAGTGAAAGCTTTAGAAAAGAGGAAGCCCACCCCTGCACTCTGGGAGGGGCTGTGGCCCCCCCACTCTCTGTCCCAGTGCTTCATCAGAAGGATCACTGCGGGTCTCTTGTAAATAAATCACGTCAGTTCTTTCTGGTTCACACTAAAAAACGTTTTACAGCCTCTCGAGCCCCATTAAGATTTAAGGATGCTATCCTGATGCTGCTCAATAATCCAGGTAGAAAAATCTAAAAAAGTTCAATCTGGTCCTCTGGACATTCAAAAAAAACAAAACAAAGCAAAACAACAAAAAAATGTAGAAACGTTTCGTCTCTCGCCCGAGAGACTTCCTCAGTCTGAGGTGCTGTATTCAGCTCAGTCTCTTAAATAGCACCTTCTCAGAGTGGATCAACCAGTTTTGCTGCTGACAACCAGAACCAGCTGATCACATGCTCAAGAAGGACCATCAGCCTAACAATGGATCATTAGCACCTGATGGCTGTTTACTATTCACAGAGGGCTGAGTGATACTAGCAATCACAGCATTGTAAGAGGGGGACAGTTGAACCCGGAGGCTCCGCCCCTGTTTAATGATGGACGGTTTCTTTTCACAAAGATGGCCTCCTTTACTCCTCTCTCAAACCATCGTTCCTCTCTGTCCAGGATGTGAACATCTTCATCCCTGAAAAAGTGACCGCTGGCCTGGAGATGAGTGTAGACCTCAGAGTCCTGGCCTGATGATGTTGATCTTCTGTGCTGGTCCATCCTTTTGGCCAGTGGCTGTTTAGTTTCCCCAATGTAAGACTGATCACCCTCCTGACACTGAACAACATACACAACATTACTCTGTTTGTGCCGGGGGACTGGATCTTTGGGATGAACCAGTCTTTAATGTATTTTGGGGTTTAAAAGCCACTGGGACGTTATGTTTAGAAAATAAACGTCTCAGTTTCTCTGATACTCCCTCAACATATGGAATGACCACTGGTCTGGGTCTGGGTTCCTCCTTTTCACCTGTTGGCTGACTGGAGTCCTGTTTGGGTTTCTTCTCTGCTTTCAGGAAGGCCCAGTTAGGATATCCACATTGCTCTAGAGCCTGTCTTGTGTGGGATTTCTCCTTCTGCCTGGCTCCTGAGCTAGTGGGGCAAGTGGCAGGTTGGCTTTCTTGGACTGTGAGGTCTCAGTCTCTGATAGAGGACATTTGCAAACCGAGGTGTACCGCAAACCCACCCACACAGACCAGTATTTGCAGTTTGACTCCCATCACCCTTTGGAGCACAAGTTAGGAGTCATCAGGACTCTGTACCACAGAGCAGACAGCGTCCCCACTAGCTCAGTA